CCTCCGTTAAATGAGGTAACCATCCGCAGGTGTGAGAGGAGGCCAACCAGAACCAGGCGCCGCCTGGTGGAGCAGGGAAGACAAACAAAAAACACAACCAACACAAACTGGATTCCTAATACCCACTCAGAGCTGAGCACGCGCGTAACAAGTATGAACAGCCATTATCAGTAGAGCACCTATTCGACATGTCACCATGACAATAGGAAGTGCCTATTTCACTCTACTGGAACCAAAGATTTTGTTGCTTAATTATAAAAAAAATATTTAAGAATCTGTTTAAAAGACTAATCAAGACTAATACAGCTGCAAAGGAGATGTAGAAGATTGCTGCTCAAGTTAATGCTAGGTTTATAAGTAGTCTATTATGGAAGGCTGCTATAGCATTTTTTAAAGGCCTCTCTTGGAAATCAGAATCAGAATCAGAATCAGAATCAAGTTTATTGCCAAGTAGGTTTGCACTTACAAGGAATTTGACTTGGTGTTGTTGGTGCAGACAAAAAAACAAAACAAAATAGCAAAATGGGAAACTTGGAACATTTTTAGGTTTAAAATATAGAGTTTTCAGTAAACCTTCTTTGTGAAATGGGCCTCTGTTTAAACAACTGTTGTTTTTAAGGTGCTTTAAAAAAAGCAGGACTTGAATAATTTTTATGTGTTAATATTTCAACTCTTGTATGCAATGATTTCTACAGGAGACAGCCTTAATGTACACAATGGACAGAAATTCTCCACATTTGACAAAGATCAGGACACCTGGGAAGATAACTGCGCCAGAAAATTTCTGGGAGCCTTCTGGTATATCAATTGTTTGGATGCAAACCCTAACGGGGTTTATCGCTGGGGGGCTGATAATGCAGTCCATGCTGTTGGAGTGGAATGGGAAACTTGGAAGGGCAATGATTACTCCTTAAAGAGCATAAGCATGAAGATACGGCCTGCCCAGTAAAACTGCAAGTGTAGCTTCACAGTTGTGAAAATTTGAATTAAGAAAGTAAGAACTCCAGCTTCATAATGCCGGTCATAATTTAACCAGCACAATTCTTGTATGTGTCCCTTCCATAATAATTTAAAAGGCTGTTTGGATTCAACACAGCAGTCCAGAGGTCATTTTCTACTCTGAATAGTGTTAGTTTTTACTCTAATAAGATAAAGGGATAGGAACAACCAACAGGAGGTAGGAGCCACACCTGAGGTACCTGGATTGAGCCCCTGTCTGCGTTGTGGTGATGGAAATCCAATTTGGCTGATATCTGTACAAACTTATTATCTTCCAGAACCATTATTACCCACCTCTGCAAAATATAAACTGTTGCTGTTTCTTGACTTTCTCCTTTACATGTGAATGGGGTTTAAAAGTTAACTAGATACATTTTACTTTTAGCATGAAAGCCATTTAATTGAGCCTTAACATTTTTTCACTGTTTTGTTCTCATCTATAATCAATTTACCTGTTTCTTTCTGACAATAAATATAAAGCAAACAGCTCTTTGTTTTTGTGTAGATATTTCTTTTCCAAAAGACAAACTGCACACCAGTTTTTAAACAGAAATAAGCATAAATGGGAGTGTTAGTTGAAAGTTGCTTTTTAGTTCCGAAATTATGAGAACTAAGAAGCAATCATGTCTGAGCCTCAGCATATTTTCAGTTTTTCAAAGCACAGACAGATGGTTTGCAGACCTTGCAGCAATCATCATCCAAGCACTTTTGTACTATAAACAAGAAAGACAGAAAACTGTTTTAGACCAACAGAGCCTGAGAGTTAGGGGAGGGATGTGGTGTCCGAGGTCTTGCTGCCGTCAAAGCAACTGGCCAAATGCATTAATGACATAGAAAAAGAATCTCTATTCATGTCTCAGTAATCTTAATTTCTGGATATTGTCATAAAATAACAGATTTAGTTAGTGGAGTTGCTTTATAGCACTTTAATGGAGAAATAGAAGATTTTATCTTACTTACTGCACATTAATTAACAAAACACTTACCTGTAACATTATTTACAAGAATCAATTCACAAAGAAGCAAACACAGAGTCAACATCCTCATGCCTGCAGATCTGGTGTATTCTAGATGATTATCACCTGCTGTAACAATAAACAGTAAAATATAATATGAAAATGAGAGTCTAAATGATAACAGGAAAAATATTTATAAAGAAAATTGGTAAAAGACTTACCAGATCCAGCTTCTTGCTTTTAGTATGAAATTGTGAAATTTCCAATTGAGGAATAATAAATCAGCTTTTATACACCCCCTTATCTGTTGATATAAAAAACAAAAATAAAAAATACGACTAATGTTGAGTGAAAGTGCAGACTTTGCATTGTATGGCCAATAACGGAGTCAGTCTACGACCAGTTATTTCACTTTTTGTTGATTTTGGGGGCAGCATCAGAGACAACGTATTCCATTTCTTCTTAAAAGTGCAAAATTATAGGTTGTATGAGTATTTATGTTATTGGGTGGACTAAGGCCACTTAATACACTTCTTTGTAGAACCCCGCCCAAAAAAACGATAGAGGCAACATTCATGTCAAGTTACTACA